ATTCTATTTTTATTCTACATGTTATTCTATTCTATTCTATTCTATTCTACTATTCTATTGCATTGCATTGCATTGCATTGTATTCTTGTTTCCTATTCTATTTCCTGTTCTAATTCTAATTCTTATATTCTTATTCTTATATTCTTATTCTTATTCTTACCCTACCCTTCTCAAGTCTATCCATCTGGTTCGATGCCTTTCATCATTTTGCAATTTCCTGTTGCCCGTGGGTTCCTATCTCTGCAAAAATTGATTTTCTGTCTCTCTTTTTTGCCAAGGCGTCTTCTCTCCGCTCGGGTGCGGCCTCCTTTTCCAATAACGCATCTCGCCTCCCCTTTATTCCTCCGGCTAATAAAGCCTGCGGCTTCTAATGGCCTTTTAACTTCTTGTCTCCCCAGAGCGAGATGGAAATCCAAAGCCATCCTGGCGGAGGCGCCGAAAAAGGCCTCCGCGTCTCCCGTCGTCCAGTCGACCCGCCTTTGAGCTTCAATGGGGAAATCAGGATCTGGGATCTGGCATCTCCCACGGGCGTTGCAGGATCATAAACCCAGGGCCAACCATTGGCCGCCGGGCCCTTCCAACAGGCTAGCAGGTTGCCAAGACCGCTACGGTTTTCCTTTTTTTGGAAGGGAAAATGAGAATAAGGTTGGCATTGGCAGCGGAGAAGAACATTTGAGGTCCAAAGTTTTCTTCTGGGCACCTTGAATCAAGTGGACTTTCTTAGTTGTGGTTCTTCTCTTTCTTGAAGGAAGCCAACTCAGCTTCCCTTTGCGGGTTGCCATGAGGAAAGAAACTTGTGGCCTTCGGGCCCTTCAAAACGATGATTTTCATGCTGCCAGGGGTGTTCTGACACAGACATTGTGGTGCGTGGTGATTAAGTGCGAGCACCAAGACGCACAGACACCTCCTCATCTCTACCTTTCCCTGGTTAGTTCTCCATCTCGGTTGCTCCAAAGTGGTTCTAACAACCAGGGCTCTCACCATACCTGGACGGAGGGAACGCTGGAAAGATGTAGACCAGAGAAGACAAAACGAGAAAAACCCGGGCATTGTGCGAAGACGGAAATGTGGGGCAAACGGCCGAAGATTTTCTTACGAGCTGCGAGATGAGTCTCTACCCATTTAGTGAGGCAGAGAACAGCCCCCCCCCCCCCGAATTCACAGGGAGACCCCTGCCTGGTTCGTTTTCAGTGTATTTATTGATGCCTTTTTTAGTTGAATGTCAATCAATAAAAAGAGGCTCATGTTTTTTTTT